GCTCTTCCTGGGCTGGGCCACCTCTACAGAAGGTCCCCCGTTGTGCTCGCTGTACATACTCATTTAAAAGCACTTTTTCCCGAGAAGATAAGAAGTAGCCAGGGCAGTGAGACTCCACCGATCTCTCCTCGCCCCACCCTGCCCCCCTGTCCCGGGGTAGTCTTGTTTGTACAAAACCGTTATTCGTATGGTTCGGGGTTGTGCTGTTGTCTGACGTGTGACAAGTGTTCGCCTCCTTTTCGCGATTTACAGTGATGCTTGACTCTCTGGTATCAGGTCGCCCTGTGCCCGCGTTGCTGAGAGGCCTGGACCAGACTCACAGCAGCTCCCACCCTCACCTTCGCTCCCCTTGGGCGACCGCTTTCAGGCCTCCTGGCCATTGCTTCTGCTGTTCCCTCCGTGTTTGAAATAAAATCCCCTCCCCTAACTCACCCGTACAACCTGTAGTTTGGGCTTTCTGTCCTGCTGGGGGCTGTGCTCCCTCCCATCCCCTCCCTGGCCAGGATGCCGTCCATGTGGACACAGTGCAGCTGATGCGTTTTCATTGTGAACATCCTCATGAGCGTGTAAATGCTGGTTTCTGCTGAGCTGCGTGTGTAACCGTGATCACGCTGCCCAAGTTAGCAGCTGGGTTCTCTCCCCCACCCCCGCACAATTTCCATGGCGTCGGCGGCTGAATCCTCACGGATGCCCCAGCGTGTTTTCGGTGTCCCTGTCAGGTAGCTGGTCGGGGCCGCGTGGCCTCGGGGCTCTCGGCCTCCTGGTCTCCACCTCGGCCGGGCGTCACGCGTCGGGCATCCGGCACGTCAGCCTGAGGAGCCCCTTCTCCGCGAGCCCACGTCTTCTACTTTCTAGGCTTCACTGCCCCTTCGAGAACTTGCAGAGAAAACGTGTGTGGGAGGTGCCTTGTGTTGGGACTTAGCAAACCAGCAAACCTAGAAGTGACTTAGTCTCATCCTTGACACGCAGTTGGTTTGCATGTACGCTTCCAGGTCGGGAAGGGGCTCCCCGGGTGCCGTCCGTGTGTTCTAGCAGCCGCGCTGCCTTCGAGAAGGTCAGTGTGAGCTCTGCTTTCCCGTCTTCGGCGTTTTCTCCTCTGTCAGACGCGTCTCTTTTCCCTGAGTTTTTGGCGCGGGTCTTGTTTGTCGGCTGTGCTGGGCACTGCCGGGGACCTCGTGTCCTTGAGGCTGGGACATTTTCCTGAACTCTCTGTGACAGCTCTGCCCCCGCCCCCAACCTGCACATTCTCTCCTTCCAGAGCCCTTACTGATCGGACACTAGACCTTCTGAACCGAGTCTCTTGATTTTTCTGTATTTTTATATTTGTATTCCCATTGTCTACTTTCTGTCTACTTTCCAAGAACTTGCCTTTTGTCCTCCAACCCATCTGTTAAGTTTTACATTTCAAGTGTAGCTGTAATTCCCGAGACTCCTCTTTACCGGTACACTGTGCTCTCCTACTCTTGGTTCGTGGATGGTTGGCATGTGCTTTGCTTTCTGCACTTACCCTGTTTCCCCCACGTCATACCATTCGTTTGCTTTGCTGTTGGCTTTTCGTGATGGAGGCGTTCAAGTGTTTGGGGGCAGTTGGCTGTCCTTCTAAATGTAAACACGAGGCCCTAGAATGCTCTTTGGTGCTTGTCAGGTGCTGCGCTTTGGCAGGCCGGCTCATCTGTGGCCTGGCCTCCAAATTCTGCGCTCCCTCAGCCTTTTCTTCCTTCATTTCCCCGGAGCAGGACTCTGATCTCTTGCTTGGGGCGGAAGCGTAGTTGCAGGGGCAGGAGTGGGCGGGGTCTCCCACCTTGTGTGCAGATCTTCACCCTTGTTCTGGCCTCGCCCCTCCTCCCACCCTCCAGCTGTGCTCGGTCTTCAGCCTCTGGTCTGTTTCTTTGGGAAAGATACCCCGAGTCTCTGCAGGGCTGGGGGCAGATCAGTCACCCGCAGAGAATGATGGGGAGTGGTCTGGGGGCCCCACTGCTTCTTAAATGGGTTTTCACCCAGTTTCCTAGGCTTTGAAATCCCCCTGCCTTGCGCAGGCTCAGGCTTTGCTGGGGGGTGGTGGGCCGGCTGGCCGGTCCCCCCGCAGGCCCTCGGCTCCGTTGGCCTCCCCGGGCCCCCTTGGTGGCATCTGTGAGGTCGAGTCATGTGGCCAGCTGTCACTTTCCCTGTTCTTGAGTCCACATTTGTTTTAACCCTGCACAGAAAAAGCAACACTGAAGCTGGAATACGTGTCACGTCGCGTGGAGGTCACGTGCTAAATTGGGGCAAACGCAGCAGACAGCTCCCATTTTGGCCCTCGTGGAGCTGGTTGTAAAGGCCCGCTTTTCACCCTTCTCCATGTTGCGCACAAGCGCGAGCGCAGCACAGGCAGTGCTTGACGCTGTTCAGTCCTTGGGCCTTCCCCGGCGGCCCAGCGGCAGAGGCCCCACCTTTCAATGCGGGGGACGCGGGTTCCAGCCCTGCTCGGGGAGCTAAGACCCCACGTGCCGTGGGCCAGCTGAGCCCGTGCGCCACAACTACTGAGCTCGCGTGCTTCAGTGAGAGAGGCTGTGTGCCGCAAACTACAGAGCCCACGCGCCCCGGAGCCCGCGCACCACAGCTAGAGAGAAGCCCGAGCGCTGCGACGGAAGAGCCCTCGTGCCTCGACTAAGACCCGACGCAGCCAAAAATTAATCAATCTTTAAAAAAAAAATGCTGTTCAGTCCTTTAGTGAACAAACACGTGCATTCCAGAAAACAGTTATGCCCTTAGTAATAATCTTAGGTTTTAAGAAATTTTAGGCATAGTTAGCGGTTGGAATGTCTCCTTTAAGTCATAAATTCTGTCTGTTTAGATTTTGGTGTTCAGTCTTTTAAAGAATTACCCAAAATGATGTAAATCTAGAGGAAGAACAAGTAACAGATTCCTCTCCAAAATAAACGTCCAAATCCTGTAAATTATGTTTATGACTATGTTATACTGAAACTGACCTACCGAAGTTGATGCTTATTTATTGATTTTTACTTTCTATTTTAGCACATCTTTATTGGAATGCAGTTGCTTCACAACGCTGTGTTAGTTTCTGTTGTACAACAGAGCGAATCAGCCATATGCACACGTGTACCCCCATATCTCCTCCGTCTTGAGCCTCCCTCCCACCCTCCCTGTCCCACCCCTCTAGGTGGTCACACAGAAGTTCTAAGGTAAAGCATGGATCACAGTGGAGAGGTCCCGATGTGTCTGTGTGGAGGCCCCGGCGCGGGGTGTTGGTTTTCTCCCTGGTCTGGGGGGTGAGCGACACTGGCACCATCTCTGCAGCCCCTGGCTGGATGCGTGGCGCATGATGCTCTTTGCTCGTGTTTGTGTGAGCGGACGGATGCTCATCTAAGGGGGCTTACACACGTGTCCTCTCCTTCTGAGATGGAATGAACAGGCTGTATCTCAGGCTCTTCTCAGGGTGAGGGGGGCAGTGTCTTGAGTGGCCGTGGAGCCGTCTGGGCAGAGGTCATCGCCTTGGCCCCTCTGCTCTGTGGTCGCTCTGTCCGCACTTTGTGTGTTCCTTTCTCTCCTGGCCGGGCTCCTCTAGTTAGTGGCCCTTCCAGCTTCCCCGTCCATCCTTGTCGGTTGCTTGAATCCTGCTCCAGGCCAGGAAATGGGCTGTTGTCGCATCTGTCGCCAGAGGAGACAAGCTGAGGACAAGTGTGTGTGAGGGCGGGGCTCGGCTGCGTGCAGGGTGGGACACTCGGGGCTTCTCGGTGCCCGTCCCACCTGCGTCGCCAGACAGGGGGCCCCTGCGCGGCTGAGACGCGAGTGTAAAGGGTTACAACGTGAGGGGCCACATCCTCGGAAAATCAGCCCTACAGGGTCCCAGTGTTTATGCCTTTCCTGTAAATGAGACATTTAGCCGTAAGATCCTTGGTGATTCTCTACACCTGCACTCGTAAGCTACTTGGATATGTCATCATTTTCTATGCTTTCTAACATTATTTTTCAATTGTTTAAAAGCTTCAGTTACAGTTAAACCAGGATCTCAGCATCTTGCATCAAGATGACGGCTCATCTAAGAACAAGAGGGGGGTCCTGCCGAAGCACGCCACCAATGTGATGAGGTCCTGGCTCTTCCAGCACATCGGGGTGAGGACACACGTGCTCTGCAATTAGCCAGACCTCCACAATGCTTTCTTTCTGGCTTATTTTCTAGAAAAAATGGACTTATGTGGGCTGGTAGGCCTGGGTTTAAGAATCGGTGTTCTGTTGACTGTCCATGATGGGTCGAGCACAGGACAGAAGGGAGGGTTACCCAAAAACTGGTGACAGGGAGTAAGTTCAGCTGATGTTAACGGTACGCGCCCGTGAGAGAAACTGCCCGTGAAGGGTGCCTGCGGGGAGGTGAGGTTGATTAGAGAAGTGGGCAGAGAAGAGGTGCTCTGGGGCAAAACCTTGGAAAATAGCGATGTTTGATACGTTGGATCTGGGAGGGAGATGAGGGGTCGAGCTTGTGGACGGAGGGGCGGCACGTGGCCATGACTGTGAAGGGGAGCTTGGTGTGCCTTAGGCTGCGCGCCCCCTTTCCTCACCTGGACCTCGGCACGTCCCCCTGAAGCCGTCCTGTCTCAGGGCACACGCTTGCCCACCGATTTCTGGGGAAGGCTGGCTGGTTACCCGCCTGAGCCCCAGTCCCCACGCGCCCGACCTCGGGGGAGGCTGTGACCGCGAGTAGCTTCCAGGAGTGACAGCCTTCTCGCTGCTGCCGCGTTGGGAAGGACCGGGCTGGCCCCGGGGGGCGCGGTAGGATGGAGGTGGGAAGGTGGGCCCACCGCTGGGTTACGGCCTGTGCGGGCAGAGGGAGGGGCCCAGGCGGCGTGCGGGGGGGCGGATGCGGAGGTCCAGAGGGTCTGGAGGGCTGGGAGGGAGAAGACCCTTTCCACGGACCTGTCCATCCGCAGCCCAGGCCCGGCCGCTCCTGAGCGCTGAGCTGGTCGGCCCGGACCTGCGCCTGGGCGTCAGCGCTGCCGTCACCCGCTGCGGCCGCGTCCTCACTGCCCCGGCCTCCCCGCCTCCATCCCGTGGGCCGTGGTGCCCTCGGGTCTCCGCAGCGCCCCTTTGCCCCGGGGGCGCCCCCCGCCTGGGCTGCGGCCGCGTCCATGCCTGGGCGCCCGCCTCCGTCCTCACCCGGCTGTTGCCTCCAGTTCCCCTGGGGTTTGGCCCTGGTCGCTGCTGAGCCCCCTTCCTCTGCCCGGAGCTGGGCTCTGCGGGCTGTGCCCCAGCCCGGAGGGGGCGGCGGCTCACATGCCTCGGGAGAACGCGGTCGTCATCGGCAGTGCGACCCCGCCTAGAAGCTGGTCCTAGCGAGGGTCACGCGCAGTGGAGACATTTAGGGACAGAATGTTACAGTGCTGTTTGCTGCCATAATGGGAAATGGGTTGGTGTGTGCGTTAGGAAGGTTGTACAGCGAGTTAACACGATAAGCCAGGGTCAAAAGCACTAGGAAGCTGTAGGTACGTGGACGTAAGTGAAAGAGTAGAACGTACATGTTTCTAAATACATTGTGAGTATTACAACCGATAAGTGTGTCTGTAATGTAGTGATTGGACTACAACACAAGTAAGTGATGGAATTGGCTATTTTCCTGTTAAGTTTCCTTTAATGTTTTAATCATTTCTAAAATAGACCCTGCTCAGAGGTTCAATTAAAATGCCTTTTTTTTTTTTTTCCTATGAAGCATTTCCTGTGTCTTCTTCTTGACCTCATTTCTCTGCAATACCGTCCTCTCCTTGTAGTTTTCCTGACACTCTAGGCAGCACTCATTACTGTTTTGGTGGGTTTTTTGTTTTGTTTTGTTTTGTTTTCTGGTTTGTGTACTTGCTTCCTGCCCCCTTTTTATTTTACGAGCTTTTTTTTTTTTTTTTCCAGTACGCAGGCCTCTCACCGTTGTGGCCTCTCCCGTTGCGGAGCACAGGCTCCGGACGCGCAGGCTCAGCGGCCATGGCTCACGGGCCCAGCCGCTCCGCAGCATGTGGGATCTTCCCGGACCGGGGCACAAACCCGTGTCCCCTGCATCGGCAGGCGGACTCTCAACCACTGCGCCACCAGGGAAGCCCCTATTTTACGAGCTTTTTAAAGGACAAGAACAATATTTCTGTTTCCATAAACTCTCCCTTGGGGCCAGATGCTCACCTGTAGAATGAAAGTGAGTCACTGTGGGTTAGTGTGAGGAGTGGGACCACTGCTGTTGAGATAAATGCGGTTGTATATCCCAGAAGGCACAGTGCCCTTCCGGACACACGGAGCGTTCGCTTAAAAACCAAAAGAGACCCCCACCTCCTTACTTTGTCGGTGCCAGTCACTCCCTGGGGTCCTGCTCGGTGCAAAATAAGGGCCTTCAGTGCGTGCAAGTTTTAGAGTGAATGTCGTACTGGTTTCTACAGGCGGATGGTAACCGACCTTGGAGAAGTTGTTTATTGCTGCAGATAGAAATTGTTTTCCTCTGGTACGTCTGTGAATTTTGGTACAAGCATACCGCCCTTTATTGCGCTTCTCAGATGTTCGTTTTTTCACAAACTGAAGGTTTGTGGCAACCCTTCTATCGGTGCCATTGTTTCCAACAGCGTTTGCTTACTTTACATCTCTGTGTCACATTTTGGTAATTCTCTCAATATTTCAAGCTTTTCCATTATTATTGTATTTGATATGATGATCTGTGCTGTCATCTGTGATGTGACTTTTGCAAGAAGGTTACAGCTGAAGGCTCAGATGTGGTTTGCATTTTTTAGCAAAAATAAAGTATTTTAAAATAAGGTACATACGTTGTTCTATTACATGTAATGTTACCGCACACTTCATGGACTACAGTAGAGCCTAAACATAACTTTTATATAACATGTTTGGAAACACAAAAATTCGTGACTCACTTTATCACAATATTCGCTTTACTGAGGTGGTCTGGAACTGAACCTACAGTATTTCCTAGGTGTGTCTGTATTTATTATACTTCTGGCTTTTTCTGAGTGAAATATTTCAGTCATACGTGAAATAAAGAGTAAATAGCAGACACCCCGTCCCCAGCCCTCAATTCAGTTCTCTGCCAGCCGCACACGCGAGTCTAGCGACGCCGTAGGTGACACCCGTGCATCCCAGTGTCAGCTCGTGCTGGCGCTTCCCGTGACGGAAACGGGTCGCCTGAATGTGACGGCCTGGAGCAGCCCCATCCGCTTCCTGCCTCCTCTTGTTCAGCCGGCCCAGGATGCGGGGAGGGTGTGCACTGCCCTGCTCAGTTTCCTCGTCGTAAAATCAAGGTGGCGACAGCTCTGTGACCATGAGGAATCAGTGAATCTCTGTAGGATGTACAGGGGTGATCTGCGCGCTCTGTCTTGCTGTGGGTCAAAACTCAGCCATTTATCTGCTTTAAATGGACGCAGTTTATGGTCCTTGAATTACACCTGTAACGTTGATACAAAAGCCATAGATTGTATCGGGTGCTTAGAGCAGCAGCTGGTGCAGCCCAGGAGCCCCTCTGCGTGCCCCGCGCCCTTCCCTTCGCCGTGGCCTTTGAGCGTGCGGACTCCTGTCTGCGTCACACCTCTGCCTGGGCTTTCACTAGCTGCTGCAACACCTGTGTTCTTGGGCAGCTGGGAGAAAGGCTTCATTTGTTTTAGGCATTTCTGGAAAAAATGATGAGACTGAAGTTAGGTTTTAGCTACAAGCACCCTTGACGCCAGTTTTTACTAACAATTATTTGTGTGCTTCTGTTTTACCAGGATGATCTTGAGTTCCTTTTTAAAAACTGAAGTTCACGGTGACCCTTCTTTTTACTTTCAGCATCCCTACCCGACAGAAGATGAGAAGAAACAGATTGCTGCTCAGACAAATTTGACACTACTCCAGGTTAACAACTGGTAAGCTGTGCCCGCTGTCTGCAATTGTGCCGTCCGCAGAGCAGAGCACCTGGCAATCCTGACCCCAATAAGTAGTAAATTTTGGTTGAAGTGTATCAGTTCTTTTAACTAGCATTCCTGTGTTATCAGAGTCTGGAATTGGTGGCAGCCAGGTAAGCATAAATCACACACACACTTTCACCTTAAGTTTTCAATGCTCAGTACCCCACTAAGGGCCTTTTGCCGACATCCCCCTCCCTCGATTAGAGATGGGTTTCTCCAGGGCATTAACCAGCGCCCCTCACCCCAGCCTCCACTCAGAAACACCATGTTTCCGTGGACGAGCTCCTCTGGGCGGTGGACGGCCGAGGTGAGTTCCCCTCACCCCTGGTGGCCCCTCCGCACCCCCTCACACCTATTGAAACCTGTGTCACTCGTTCAGCAGTGACTGGGGGAGGGAGTCACACAGCCGGCCGGCTGCGCGGTGGTCCTGCCCCACAGCAGGCCTCAGGGTCCTGAGAGGGAAGCGTTTCTTTATGAAACACCGTGTTCTGGTTCTTGTGTCACATGTCAGTGTGGACACTTGGACCCTGGCCGTGATGGTTTTTCCCTTAAATAAGAGGCGTTCACGTCACTAAGCGGCGTTGAGGTCTAGGTGTGCACTTGCATTCTGCTTGGTGGTCATTTGCCTCATTTTTATTTACTTATTATTCAGATGTAGGAACTGATTTCAGGTTAATGAAATTGGCTTGTGTAAAAGAAAAGGAAATGCAGACTCTACCACTTGTAAACATGGTTATCTTTTCAGTTTAACTGTTAAAATTTAAACTTGAAGGTCAGGTGAGTTCCGATATAAATGATAAAATCTTCCATTTTGGGCAATTGTGTATGCAGGAGGTATGCTTTGGTATTGCATCAAGTATTTCTAGTATCTTGCATTTGGGCCAGTATTTTTTACTTAGGTAGCCATAATAGAGCATATACTCTTTGAATTAGCTCCTGTTAGATCTTTTAGGTAGAGTGTTAACAGGAGTTCAAAGGTTTCGAGTACTGTGTGGCTGTGAGTTTTGTAATGTCTTAGCATGTTCTCCGTTATTTTCACGCGGTCCCACGTAGAGACTGTGTCTGGTTTAATGATGGATGGATTGAGGGATGAGAGACGCAGAGGTGCGTCTCTGGATGTTCTGGTGTGTTTGTCGCCAATCAGCCTTCTCCTCGCTATTTGTTCCTCATTCGTGGGCTCCCTGCCCTTCCCTACGTTGCTCCTCTGCTGTCTTAAGAGAATTGTCTTATCTAGGAGGTTTGACCTCAACTTTTAATTTTGAAATTCATCACAGTTTAAAATATGACTTCTATAAATTCTAAACTTTCTAAAGTCTTTTAGTTAATATTTGAAGCTATTTTTACCTCTTGTGACTTGCTTTCCTTTTATATTTGCAAAAATTATATCTTGGAGCGAGATTGGACAGCACTCATCATTAGCTTATGCCTCTGCCTCGTAGCAGCTTTGACAAAGATGGATAAAGAGACAGATTGAAAGGTAGCAGCGGGTGTCCCTTCCCAGGTGGCGCTGGGGTCGGCGGTGAGCTTCCGGGGAGTCCAGCTCACGCTCCGCTGCAGGGACCAGAGATCGACGCTGAACGAAGCTCTGAGGTGCCAGCCCGGGCATGTGTATTATTAGAATATGTCCTAGTGCAATTGTAGATGTTTCTGAATCTTAGGACTTTGAAGTTAGGCAACCTCAGAGCCGGACATCTGTCCACACTCAGGGCTCGGTCGGGTGGGACCCTCAGATAAGAGCCGCACAGCCTGCGAGGCCTCGGCCTCGGGCGTCACGGGACGGCGGGGCATGTAGTTTTGCTGCTTTGACCTTTCTCTTCCTCAGAGAAAATCACGCCACATTCACAACTTTGACAGTATCATCAGTGTCATTGTGAACATCAATTTCACAAACAGGGAATACATCAGTTAAAGTGGAAGAAAGGCACCATGGGAGAGTTGGTCTTTATTCAAATGAATCACTTTAAAAACAGCCCTGTTCTCTGGACATTTAGATAATATGCGTGTCGTCACTCTGAGTGCTTCTGCTAACAGGGAAGACATGTTTCTGCTCGTGTGGTTTGTCAGGTGGGCCTGTTACTGCCTCGGGCGGCCTCGGAAAGGCTGTTTTGACCTGTTTCCTGCGCGCAGGTTCATCAATGCAAGAAGACGAATCCTGCAGCCGATGTTGGATTCTAGTTGCTCAGAAACTCCAAAAACAAAGAAGAAAACTGCTCAGAACAGACCCGTCCAGAGGTTTTGGCCCGATTCCATCGCCTCAGGAGCCGCACAGCCAGCCACCAGCGAGCTGACCGTGTCCGAAGGTGGGGACCGGGCCCGGGCCTGTGCCCTCGCAGCCGGTGGGCGGCCGCTGTTCTGGGGGCTGGGGGTGTGTGAGGCTGTGAACCAAGGGCAGGCAGTGGTCTTTCTGCATCAGACCATGAGAGAGCGCCGGTCCTGGTGCTTGTTAGGGGTTGCAGGTGTGCCCGGGAGAGCCGGATCCAAGACCAGTCCCCCGAGGTCCCTCCCGCCTCTTTCTGTCCCTCCTGCTTCGGTGCAGGGAGCGGACGTGTCGTGCGCTCACCGCCTGGCGCTTCACCCTTTATGTCCCTGCGGCCCTCATCCGGCGTTTCTTCTTCCCTTTGACCCGCGTCCCCTCACTGTGGGCCACTGTTTCTGTGTTTAGTTGACGAGCATCTTCTGTGTGCGTGAGTTGCTCACACTTCAGATGGTTGTGTGTGTGTATTTTTAAATGTAATAAGTTGTGTTATTATCGCATTCTTACCTTCTCGTTCTCCTCTTACTTTTTCCGCTCAGCAGTTTACTGTTATTCAGTTGGGAAAGTTTGGGGCCGTTATTTCTTCAAATATATTTTCTGGCCTCCCCTCCCCCAGGGGCTCCAGTTGCCGATGTGATAGGGCATTATAACTCACACAGTTACTGCTGCTTTTCCAGGATTTTGGATTCTTTTCCTCTGTTTCATCCTGGATAGTTTCTCTGTTCCTATTCTTAAGCTTCCCCAGTCTTGTGTTCTGCGATGTTTAATCTTCCGCTAATCCCATCCCTGTGATTTTCATGTTGGACATTGTCTAGACGCTCCGCGGGAGCTTTTGTATCTTTCACGGTCTACTGAAGTTTTGAACAAACAGCACACAGTCGCCACTAACTGTTTTGATGACCTCCTCTGCTAATTGTAACATCTGTCAGCTCTGGGCTGGTTTCTGTTGACTGAATTCCCATTACGGGTTGTTTTCCTGCCTGTTTGCGTGCCTGGTAATCTTTGTCTAGAGGCCAGACATTGTGGGTGTTAACTTTATCAGGGGATGGGTGTTTCCGTACGGCTCCAGGTCTTCCTGAGCTACCTTCTAGCAGTTGTAGGTCACTCGGCACTCTCTGACCCTCTCGTGCTTTGCTTTTGCAATTGGTTCTTGCCTGGTCCCGGCAGTGCCCGGCCCGGGCCTGTGCTTCAGGGCGTGTCCAGCCCAGCCCTGCCAGCTCTGGACCCTGTGCTCTGTGATCTCTGGGGCTGATCCTTTTCCTGGCCGCAGTTCTTTCCTGCACACGTGCGCTCGTCTGTCCTCTGCCAGTGCTCAGGGCGTCCCAGAGCCGAGCTGGCCCTGGGCTTGGAGTGGGCCCCTCACGGTGTGTGTGTTTAAAGCTTTGGCTTCTTTACTTGGGTTTTGATAGGCAGTGGTTTTACCTTCCTACTTAAATCATTTGTATTTTCCGTTTTTGTTTTCCTTTTTAATTCAGGGATTAGTCCGAAAGGTTTTTTTCCTCTCTCTCTCCCGCTCCCTCGCCCCGCTCCTGGAAAAGGCGATACCTATGTACTGGGGAAGTTCAGGCAAGGGTGTCAGTGAGAAGTAATCTTTCCTCCAGCCTGGCTTCTCATCTTCTCCAGAGACAACCCTTAGTACCAGTTTCCCGCGGAGGCTCCCAGTGCGTGTCTGATGCCGTGGTCTGTGCACAGACAAGAAGGAATGCATGAATGAATCGTTTTTAAAAGTCTCCTCAACATGTTGTGCTACATGAATTATGTACACCTCAGGTTACGTCCTCTTGCTCTCTTCACCCGCTGGTGCCGTGCAGATTTTTATGGACGGGCACGTGCGACCCACCGTGTGGGGCCCCCTAGCGCAGCGCCGCCCTCGGCCCAGCGTGTCCCGTCGGCGTCCCGCTCGCGGGCCCTTGGCGCCCGCCCGCTGCCGGCCGCGGGAGCGGGAACGCGTGCCGCAGGCTCTCCTCCGCCCTCTCGGACCGGCCTGCCTTCCCCGGGCCCGGGCCTCCCGGCCCGTCTCCCGCTTTGCTGCCTCGTGGCCTCTCCCCGGTGTCCTGGGTCTCTCGTCCTCCGTGTGGCGCTCGCTCTGCGCCCCGGGCGGTTGTGCCCTTTACCGTCCTGACCCTCGGACCCTCTGTAGACTGAGAGCTTAGCCGCGCAGGGTCTGGGGCCCATCCTAGAGACACGGGTCCTTAACTCGCTGCGGATGGTCCCAGGAGCGCGCAGGGGGCTTCGCGGGAGGTCGGGCAGCCCGGCCCCACGGGTCGAGGGGTAACGGTTTGCATCCAAGCGCCGATGGCGTGGTGACAGCCACCTTGTGCCGCAGGAGCCGTCGTGACCATCACCGCGCCCGTGGGCATGAACGTGGACAGCCTGCAGTCCCTGTCGTCGGACGGGGCCACGCTGGCGGTACAGCAGGTGATGATGGCCGAGCAGAGCGAGGACGACTCGGTGGACAGCACGGGGGACGGCGGGGCGGCGCTGGCGCCCGGCCACCTGGGCGGGCTGGTGCTGGAGAACAGCGACTCCCTGCAGTAGGGCCGCCCGCCCCGCGTTTTATAGTTGGCACAGCAAACATTTTACACAGTTTTATTTCTAATATGTTTTATATGTAGGCATAGAAGAGTGCACTTTTGTATTTCCTAGTAAGCTTCCAGGGCGTCTTTGCTGGTGCAGCGACTTCTTTCAAGGTGTGTGTGTGCGTGTGTGTGCGTGTGTGTGTGTTTTTAAGGAAATCCTTTCAAGGTTTAACGCTAAAAGTATGCTGAATGACAGATCCCCTCCCCCGCCCCCTGAACCCCTGACTAGATTAAGGAATAGTGCTGCCGTTTTCTAAACACTTATGCAGTTTTAATTTAGCTCTGTGGTGAAAGCAGGTCTCAGTGGGCTGGTTTATTTTTGGAGCCCGTGGATTAGGAAGAAGCTTCTGGCCCTGAAAACTGCCAGCGAGAGGCGGATGGCAGCACACAGCAGTAAACCGCGTGCGACCTGGTGGCGAATGTATGGCGAGTTAAATGTGGTTCCGTTCGCTGGTGTTGCATGAGCCTGTGTCATTTGCTGTATGTGAAAAGAAACTCCTATTTTTACCTTGCTGGAATTATTGGATAAAAAGCTATTTTTATAAATTCGTTATGAATTGGATTATGACTATATCGAGGATAAAATTTCTAGAGGAGAAACAGTACATGCTTACTGTCTCAATTTGGAATGTTCTGAATTGACCAAATTTGACGAACCTGCCCCAAGTTAGCTAGCATTCCATGGCTCTCTGCTATCCCAGGGTAGCAATTTACATTTACTCCTATAAAGTAAAAGAAACACCTATTTAATGAAGTTTTGATATCTTCAAATTTTAGTCTATCCGTAAATGCTCAGATTTTGCATCCTACACTTATCTTGAACATACATCTAAAGGTACTTGCTAAGTAGAGCTTAGGTAAGTTAAGAAATGGTAGCCGGTGGTCAGTTAAAAGCTCTTACTGACGTATTTCAGTCTAATTTAAATATGACCACAGTTAAATGGTTAGTGTACCATGTTAGCTGGGTGTTGTTTTAGAATTTTTTAGTCAGCCATATGTTACGTGTAGAATGTTTATGATAAACTAATATCAAGTGTCCTCTATCCCGCTGGCTCAGAGCCGGGGTAAAGAGCAAGCCCTCGGCTTTGTTACACGATTAACAAACATCCACAGCGGGACGGGAGCGAGCGGGGCCTGGAGGATGGGGTGACGGTGGCCCTCCTGCCGCCGTGTCTCACGCTGGTCCTGGGGTCGGTGTTCTCTCCCGCACGTGGTCCTTCCCTCTGATTTGATCACATCAGATCTGGAGTAGTGTTGGGACTTGGGTTCCTGGTGACCAGACGAACCACAAGAGCAGACTGGGTTTGTTTCCTTGGGTTTTGATTTGTTTCTGTTGCTTTGCTTTCAAGTGGGGCTTTTCCTCAGAGAGGAAACAGAGACCCTGGTTTCACGGAGGAAATCTGTGTGTTACCGTCAAGCTCAGCGCACTTCTCAAGGACAGTCTTACGGTTGGGAAGGTCGTCAGTTCCTGAGAAGCAGTGACAGTAACTGGTTGTGGACCAAGGCTACATGGGGGTATTTTGAGCTGGTGCAGGTTGTTTTCTGGAACTGACTTTCCCCCCCGAAATTATTAATAATTAAAGTTACTCATAGGAGAGCACTTCCTAGGTAACTCAGAAGGAAGCAAGAAACACACAGGAATTTCTGATAAAATATTTCAGGAGATTTAAAAGAAAAACTTGATTCTCGACTCTCTTGGGGGAGAAAATAACATTTTTTTTTTTTTTTTTTTTGCTGTACGCGGGCCTCTCACTGTTGTGGCCTCTCCCGTTGCAGAGCACAGGCTCCGGGCGCGCAGGCTCAGCGGCCATGGCTCACGGGCCCAGCCGCTCCGCGGCATGTGGGATCTTCCCGGACCGGGGCACGAACCCGTATCCCCTGCATTGGCAGGCGGACTCTTAACCACTGCGCCACCAGGGAAGCCCGAGAAAATAACATTTTAAAGCAGCTATTGCGTTCCTCATTTGTAAACAATTTCAAATATTTTAAGTCAAGTCTACACCAGTTTAAAAGATCATTCGAAGTCCAACAAAGTTAGAATTTAAGACGAGGCCCTGTGGAAGCCGGCCAGCCCCTCCCTCCTCCCTCCCTCTCTCCCTCGCCTCACCCCACCCCCCATCCCTCTGCCCTTGGGCTCAGATCAGTGACGGGGCAGGTGGTCCCTCCAGGTCCGCGTTTCCCCGCGGCAGAAATCCTGTCCCGGGATGCGTGCCGCCCAGGCCACGGCAGCGCTTACGCGGTGTCGCGTGGGGGTCCAGCCGTCGGTGCCCGGGCCTCGGCCACACTCCCTCCAGCCAAAGTCTGCGTGCTGCTCGCCACAGTCAGAGGACAAGCAAGAAGGCCACTCGAGAGAGGGCGCTTTGGACACAGCCTGAGGCTCCTCTCAGCCCTTCCCCTGCGTAACCAAGGGGGTTTCAGACAACCCGACAGGCAGACTGTTAACCGCTGCCCGGCGTATTGGTGGTCACTCGGTGCCTAATAAATACCCGTTTTCCAGCCCTCGGATTTTTGAGAGCATCTGTGAGAGCACAACCCCGTTGAGCTTTGATTTTAAATGAACAAATTCGACCTCGACTTTGCTTCTGTTAAATTCTTTCCCTGTGAAGGATGCTTTTGACGGTGGTTTGAGACCCAGGTTAAGCGCGGTGTGTTACCTGCTGCTCAGCTTGTGAGCCGGTAGCGGACGGCTGGTCCGTGCCCCGGCCACGCTCCAGCTGCTGCACTAACGGAGCTTTCCGTGTTTTGATTCCAGAAATAAGACAGTGTAAGCATTTATCCAGCGTGCAAAGTGAGATGGGCCCCGGCCCCAGCTCGCTCACAGACCACAGAGCCCTGATGCTGGAACCTCAGCCCCGAGGGTCCCATAACCTGCCCGTGACCCGACTCTTACCTGGGCGAGAAAGTGTTGGAGCACTTTTTCTTTTACACAAGCTCAGACATCCCCCGAAGGTGAGAACGGCCCACCTCTGGCAGTTAGGGACAGGAGTAACTCCACCATCCTCCCGTTTCAGTTGTTTGGTCTATGAACTGACAATCTTTAAATGTGAATACTGTAACAATTGTTTTCTTGGATTGTTGTCTTTGAAAGGGATTTTTGTGAAGCAACTGATTTATCAAAGCAAAAAAATTAAAAACAGAAGCATGCTTCATGGACGTTTTATTTTCTAAAGCTCGTGTCACCGCAGCTGCTTTTCCATTTTAAGAACAACATTCAGATGTTGACATGTTTGCTGGTGGCACTTGGGGTCCGTTGTGACCCCCGCACATTCTTAAAATTAGGATTGCCCCGCCCTGGCGCATTCAGGCCCATTTACATTTTCAGGAATCTTTTCTAAGTTTCTTCAGGTCGTCATTGGTTTTCCAGGAGAAAAACTGGAAAGTTTTTGTTTTTTATTGTAGTTCACCACAAATCTAATTATTTTGATAGTAATGAGAAAATGATTCATTAGTAAGGTATTGCCTTCGATAGTTCATGTTGTCACATTACCCGCCAGAGCAGTTCCCGGACATACTGAAGGGGGGTGTCCATTGAAACGCTGTCAGAGAGTTTTAACTCCCAAACCGTTTATACTTACAAGCTAAAGTCAGCAGACTTAAGTAATTTTTTAAAGTGCATCTGAAATCGTGGACTTGGCTGGAATGAGGAGTGACTCCAAGACATCGTTCGGATCCACTTGACAGAAAAAGGGAGTCACCCTTTTCTCTCTCCAACTCTTTTGAGGTCGGAGGTGAGCGGGATAGGCGTGAAATTTCACCAGGTGAGACCTTGGCTCAGCCCTGGGCCCCCCTAGGCTTCAAGCGCTTCATTTGTAAATGGGAAGAAGCTGGTTTATAAAAGGAAGAAACTGGTTTGTAAGACTTGGTCCAGCTCAAAGTAATACTTGATGAATAAAATTCTGCCTAGAGAGAGGTGAGTGAACAAGTAATGAGCTAGCAAATCGTGAAAATGAGAACTGAATTTGGACCAAATATCCAGTGTTTTTGCATTTCGTTGCATTTTGAGATGTCCTAAATAATGTATGTATTACGTTTAGCCCACGTGCTGTGTTATATACACTCTTAAGAAGAAATTCTTAGCACAAGTTAGTTTTGCCCTTTTACAAACAGATCCTCATATTTTCACTAAGACCTAAGGTCTCCGTACCATTTTAAAACTAAAATTTGCACAACAGTAGAGCTATAGCTTAATCACTTAATGAATGCTGGCCTAGGGGGCGGGCACCTCCGCCCACAGCTGGGAGCCTGCTCTGCTCATCACACTGACCCCCAGCCCAGGCCCGGCCTCTGCAGAGGAGGAGGGTCCAGGGCCATCTCAGCTCAGCAAGATCTCTTCCAGCTCTTCCCTGTTAGTCTATAAAGGACTAGTTAGTGTTGCTTAATGAAATAATTTGGTAAGTATTTTACATACAAATAGTATTGAGAAGGCATTTCTCGCACAGATGTTTCCATTTTCTAATATCACTGTTTAAACGAACCCAAGAGTGCACCCTATAAAAGCCAATAATGGCTTTAATATACAGGGATAAATCTGGAATTCTTTTATCCCAGTGTCTTTGAAAAGGAACATTTTAGTGATGTTGATGGCTCTAGTTGCTTACACATTTTTAGAAAATGGGAGGAAAAAAATCAGGTATATGTAAAAAAAATATTTTGCTTTATGTTAACCCAGTTTTTTGGTTTTTTGATATTAACACTGCAGTCAATCCAAGTAAGTGGTGAAGCCCTTTGTAGTTTATGCTCTGAGTGTAGACCTGAGTTTTCCAGCCAGAGGGTTCTGTTGCAGGAGGATAGCCCTGGAGTTGCAGGAAATGCTCCCCGGCATCGAGCCAGAGAAGCCAAGGAAGGGGTGTTTCCAGGAGGAGCGGAGTGTAGGGATGTGGGACGGGGCCCCTGGCGCTTTGATGAGAGCAGCCTCAGGGACGCGGGGCCCGGGCTGAACCAGGCAGCCGGGCTCCCAGGGCCGGTGGCCACGAAGCCAGCGGAAGCTAATGGAAGAGCTCACCGTCATTACCGTAGGGCGAGGAGGACCTACGAGGCCGAATGCATGAGTCAGAGGACGAGCCCTGGTGGATGCGGCCAAATCAAAAGGGCGACAGCCTGGACTGCCGACAGGCGACACTCGGGGAGAAACGCTTCTCCCTCGCTTTCTTTGTTAACATCTAAAGCTGACAAGGAGTTCATATTGAGGGTAAAGGGAGAATTCTTGGAAATCAAAAGAAAATGGCAGAGGATCTTAAGTCAGTTCACTGAAGGGAAAACCCGTGCAGCCAACAAGCATGTGAAGACGTTCTGGGCCTCACCACCATCAGAGACTAAATCAAGACCGCGATGAGACTGCCCCTTGCCCGGCAAAAGTTTGGAAGGTGGCACCGAGTGTGGGAGCTTCACCGGGATGGCCGTCGTGGAGCCCTG